GAAAACACAAGAATTTTCCAAAATATTTGAAATTTTCGAAATAATAAAAAAATTGATTGAATTATGTTGTTGTTATGAAAACTATACATATATTGTTTTTCAAAATCTTATTTTCAATAGTTTTCAAAAACTTTGCCCATTAGGATTAAATTAGAGAACCTTGAAATATTGAGGACTTAATTGAGTTTTGAGATTGATTGAATTGCATACATATGTTTTCTAAATTGCAGGTTATCCATTCTATTCCAATTTACTAAACCATGTCCAATCCTAAACGTGCTAGGTCCATTATCTAGTCGCTCACACGTCAACCAAATCCACCTCCAAATCCTCCTCCTATTCCTAAAATTCCAATTCCTAATCCTAATCCAATTGATCTCAATATAACGATCCAAAACTCGTGCTTTAATCATTCTGGTCCTAGAAATCATCGTTTTTGGTATTATCAATATTTCGACTCTTACAAAATTAGAGAAGAACATATTCCTTCTCGTCAAGCTATGTTAGATATTAATTTTAAATATCTTTCTCTTTTACAAGAGTGGAAATTTGACAAACTCTTTGAACTTGAACCCATTGTCTACCATCAACTTGTTCGTATTTTCTATTCTAATGTCGTTTGTGTTAAAACCGAACTGAAACCAAAACCATAGGAATTCGTTCCTACCTCCTATGACAATTCTTATATATTGACTCGGCTTACATAGCCAATGCATTCGGATTAGATAATGATGGTATTTCAAATGAAAAACAAATCTTAGGATCTCGTTATAAAGAATGGATAGTGCAAGTGTCTTAGACCTTCATGAACGTTTTCTTTATCTAATGATTTCTTGGTGGTTTCGACCATCCGGAGGTCGTTATTCTACTCTTAGAGCCTTGGATCTTTGGTGGTTACATTGTTTTGAAATTAGTATTAAAATAAACCTACCTCAGATCATTTTTGCTGAAATTGTTGAAACCGTAAATCTTGTTCCTAACAAGAAACTCTGTTCATCTCTAGTTTACGGTTGCATTTTGAGTAATCTATTTTCTAAAGCCGGGCTTAGAGTAGGTCTAAATGTCTCCTTTCCTCTAAAGAAACAAATTAATCTTCTTTCTTTAACAAGAGCGGGATGGATAAAGGATAAGGAAACCGGTGAATGGGTTCGATCGTCTGAAAATACTCCGGGAGCTAGTTCTTCACGAGTTCAACCAGAAGCTGACGACGATCCCGAGCTTCAACAATTAATGCGAGACATCGATGAAGCCGAAGATGAGCATGAACAGCCTGAGGAGCAGCCCGAGGAGCAAGCACAACAAACGCATCAAATGCCTCCATATTTTCAATCTTTTATGGAGACATTCGATTTCCGATATGCTACCATGGATTCGCGCTTTACTTCTATAGAGTCTCATTTATCCACAATGGGAGCTCAACAATTAGAAATCCTCTGAGAGATGCGCACAAACAACGCTTCGATGAATGAACGTATTGATGCACTCTCACACGAGATGGCCGCTATGCGAGCTCGTTTCCTCCTCCCGATCCGGATGTTTAATATGTGTTTAACTTTAAAACTTTGAACTAAAAGATTATTGTTTCAACTTTTTGAATATTTTGGATTGTTTGATTTTGTGGATTGTTAGACTTTGGATTTGTTTGGATGTTTGAACTTATATATTGTGTGGTTAAATGTATTCATTATTGCATCATTTAAATCATGTTAGATATATGACCAATTTTGCCATGTCACATTAATTATGAATATTGATTATGGAACTAATGGCTAACATTTCTCTTGATTGTGATCTTAGCAGCTTAAACTATATATATTCAATTGGCTATATGATTTAAAAACCTTGTTTAAAATCTTTTACAAGTCTTTTTGATTTAAAAAAAAGGAGGAGAAGTGTTAAGTGTTTTAAATAAGTGTTTTAAAGGGAGAAGTGTTAAAGTAAGGGAGAGTAATTTTTCGAAAACGTCGTTTTTGATTTCAAAATCTTAAAATTACTAAAATGTTTTGTTATATCAAAAAGGGGGAGATTGTTGAAAACATTTTGATATTTCGATATAACAAATTAAGTTAAATGAAGTTTAAGATTTTCCAAAAAGGTTTTCTAACTATATTCGATATAATTATTCGAATATCAAAATATTACTCAAAATCTTTCAAATGTCATTTTTAATCCTTACTCAAGTGGAAAATTAAGTTTTAATCTTAAAATAATTTCAAAACGATTTTACAAAATATTTCGAACCATCTCAAAGCTAAAAATTCCAGATTGCTCAGAGGGAATCGATTCCCCCCCCCAAGGGGGTGCCGATTCCCCCTGAATGGTTTGGCTCCGAGAATTCCAGTATGCTCGGAGGGAACCGATTCCCCCCTATGTAACGGTCGAAATATTTGAATTTTACACTTAGGGAACCGATTCCCCATAAGGGGTACTGATTCCCCACGCTCCAAACTGTTTTATTAATTGATTTCACACTAACACAGCTATATTATCTTCATTAATGATCCCCAACGTTCAGAAGTGATTCAAGATGTATTTAAGCAAGCTTAGAAGCCATTGATCAATAACAAGAAACATCAAGCAACTAGAATCAAGAAAGAATCAAAGAGAAAGCATCAAACCTCAAGTTTGAGTATTTCAAGCCTATTTTTCATCCAATATTCATTTTGCTTTCAAGAACACTTATTGTGCTCAATTGTATTCATTCTTGAGTGTTATTTTCTTTGTTCTAGAATTGTGCAAACAATCTACCTTGTGAGGATTTCCTTATAAGTTTGCAAATTTGTATTGTTCTCTTTGGGAGAGAGTGTTCTCAAGAATTTGGGGTATAATTCTTGAGGGTTTGTAAGGTTACTCTTTGTCCTCAAAAGAAAGACAAATTAGTGAATTTGTGGAAAATCCTTAGTGTGGATAACTAAGGTAGTGGACGTAAACTTTGGTTGAGAAAGTCGAACCACTCTAAATCGCTGTGCAATTTCTTTCAATTTTCTGCAAAAACTTCCACCAAAATTTTTATTGTCAATTCACCTCCCTCTTGGCCAATTCCGTCAATCGATTAACTCAACAAGAGTGTTGTTCTCCCTTGAGGTTTTGAATTCAAGCGATTACATTTACAAAGTGTCTGTGCATTGCTAATAGTTAAGAAAGATTATGAATAAATACTCATTGAAATCACCTCAGACTAGTCAAAAAAATTAAATAATTAATTTAAATAATATTATAAAAATTAATTATAAAAGTGATTTTTCTAATTTAATTTTCTTAATTTAGAGAGTCATAATTTAAAATTTTGATCTTATTGAATAAAATTTGAAAAACGTATAAAATTTTAAAAAATTACACTACAACTAATCTTATTTTAATATATATTATTTTCATTTTGGTTAGTATAGAGTTCCCATAAGATACTAAAAATCTTTAAGATTGTTTGTCCGATAAAGGTTAGGCATTCCATGCATCCTCCTCCATCAAACCCTTTATTTTCCCAAGTCAAGCTCACCACTTGGTATTATATCCACGCAATCCAAGCAAATGGATTGGAGTTTGGTGGATTTGCCTAACCCAAATTGTACCTCAATTATATCAACTTTTATTTTATTTCATCAAAACTTTATTATTCCATGCATTATGAATGTAATTCAAACTTTTTTATTAGTGAATTTAATAATATTCACCTACTTTTTTGGTTTAGAGGTTGATAGTGAATCCCTCGTTCTTTAGGCGTTCCTATTTGACCGAACAAAGGGGGTGCCTTATTTTATTTGGCATTTGACTACTAATGTTTAGTGGTTTATTCAGTTTGGATTAGCCTAATGGCGAGGTTATGCAAACATGTTTTTTTCTCTCATTCAAATAGGGTAAAACTTGAGATCTCATTGAGTGATCTCAGTGGTAAAAGAAAATATTATTTTTCTTGGAGGATTCGAGTATTAATAACTATGTATGTAGGGTGTGTTGTCAATGATTAAGCAAGATTTTAAACATATAAGACTTTATAATCACTTCAAACTATTCAAAAAAAATGAATAAGACTTCAACATTTGTTTATATAAAAAAATGGTAATAAGTATTTAATAAAGATATTCACAATATATTCATTTTTCCTTTTTTAATAAGATTTAAATTTTAAATTTTAGGATTAGGATTTAAGGTTTGATGGAGGAGGATGCATGGGATTCTTAACCTTCATCGGACAAACGGTTCCAACCTATGACATCAAGGTTCCCAACAAAGTGAACCTCTAAGTAAATAAGACAATGTTCTCAAAGTATAAGGTCCTCAATTATATTTTATGGTTCTACCCTTCATAATTTTTGAATTGCTAAGCAGATGCAAAAACTATCTCATCAAATTGGACATGAATAAATCATGTCATGGACATATGAGCCAACATCCCATATGTGCACCTTCGATCAAGACAAGTCCATTCTCTATATGACTCTACAACATCCCATATGCACCACATTGATGAAGAGGTAAATGCATGTGCAAGTATTTCCAAACTATGATCTGTTCATGCATCATACCATTAGTTCAAGCAACATCGACAATTACCATTTCAGTTTCGATCCCGAGAAGCAAGTCTGGAACAGATACCTAATCTCTAACATGAAAGCATGACATGCAACGCAGAAGACAATTGTTTCGAGTGCCTGTATATAATAGTTATCTATTCGAGTTTGTGCATTCGTAGGGTTTTATGTGTAAACCTATTATGCAAGTAAATCATTCAGGAGGATAATCCACAATCACATTCAAGTGCATGATGATTAAATGGAAATCTAGATGTAGTGAATTTCTTGGCATGAGATTAATAAGTTCCATTTCTTGTGTAAGAAGGGTAACATTCAAGGTTAATTAAGAACATTATCTACTTCTAGCATCTTCAGATTCCGATATCGGACAAACAAAAGGCTTACCTTCATCCATATACCATCTTCTGTATTCATCAGATGGTTTGAAATCATTACCAACGATGGGATAGCCATGAGGTATTTTCTGAGAACGCATATCCCACAACTCAATCCATTCTTTATGCTTTGCAAGCCACTGTTCATCATGATGCCCGCGCATATCAATCTTGTGAAGCATATCAAGGTTCATAGGCATTTCAGAGATCGATTGTTGCATCCCGAATTGTCGCATACCCTATCAGTTTGGTGCCACGCCACAACTGCAAAGCATATCAATGCTGTGTTCGTGTTCCATAGATGACAATGGTTGTAAGCCTCTATAGGTAGGCATACTAAAATTTCCTTTGAAGAATATGGCATCCAAATAAACTGCATATATATATATATATTAGAGTGCATATACGTTAAATACATAAATACTTGAATCTAATTATGAAAACATTTACCTTATCATATTCTAATCGATCTAGTTGTTCTCTAATGCTTGGAAGGCCAGATGGAATACCAGGATGAACCTTGCGGCTGTTCCATCTGTTAAAATCATATAACATATTAATAAAACTATACTATAAAAAATACATTCACGTCCAGTATAAATTGAGTATTAAACATTATTACCTGCTAGCAAGGGGGTATACAGGAGCAGTTGCCGTTCGTGGTGCAAGAAATGGCAATCGATACCAAGCCCATGACTGCAGTAGCACTAAGCATCCACCAATGTCATGGGTTTTTGGGATTGTAGCACGACAAAGTTCCCTATACAAGAAGCCTAAACACGCAGAACCCCAACTATAAGTCCCAGCTAACTTGAAGTCTCGAAGTAATGGAAGATACATTAAATGCACTAGATTGCCGGATTTATCAGGCATCAGCACCCCACCAATCAAGCGTAAAATATATGCTCGAGCAGCATATTTAATGTCTTTTTCACTCGCATTCTCGGGGAGATGTTGAAAGGTTGACTGCAACCAAGTTAGTTTCACTCTTGAGCCATTCAAATGCTCTTCCGGAGGAACCACACCCAATAAGTTTTGACACTCATCTTTCCAATCCAATAAGCTGCAGCCTGTAACTGCCATTCCGTCGATCGGAAGTCCAAGTTGTAGCGCAACATCTTCCAAAGTAATTGTGCATTCGCCGAAAGGAAAATGAAACGTATGTGTTTCGGGTCTCCATCTTTCGATCAACGCACTTATCAAATCAGGAAGAAGTACAAAGCGGCGAACTTGAGATGCATTATAGAAACCACTCATCTTCAAATAGTTTATAATATACGGATGTGGTTCTTCAAAATAAATTCTCCGAGAGCGTAGAATTCGACAAGTATCCTGTTAATAATTTGTTAAATTAATCAATCATTCAATCATTCAATAGTAACGCCATAAACACAATATCTGCAAAACAGAATTACCTCTTGAAATACAAAGGAGGATATATGGTTTTCTTGCAATCTCAACAACGATGAAGAAGCCATTTTTCAAAGCTGCAAGAAGTAGTTGGCTTAGTTAAAAAGAATAAACGAAGGAGATTTAGTGCTAAAACGCTTTGTGAGATAGATGGAAAGATCCAGGAACACAACAAACTTCAAAACCCACAGCTCATCTAAACAAAATTTAAGTTTGAAACCTGCAGTCAAATCACCTCAAAAAATTTATAACCCATCTAAGCATACTCTGAAAATCCCGTTGCTCATCCAAAAAATGACTTTTATCTCAAAAGCTCACAAGTACAGAATTACATAACACACAAAGACGAGCATTTCCTCACAGCCAAAAACTCAGAAAAAAAGGCCTAAATCATAAAAAATGCGATTGAAATAATTCACCCAAGAAAAACCAAAAGCAAGTAGAAATCAATATATAAAATTCAAGAAGTACAGAGATTAATTAAAAAAAAAGGAGGGAAGGAGCGAACCTTGAAACTAAAAGAGAGAGGAAGAGTGGGCCGAGAGTGAAATATTTGATTCTGAAAATCTTATTTTTACTACTGTTTTGGATAAAATTACCATTTACGTAATAGGTCTTATTCATATTAATATATTTATTACGTATTTTTTATTAAATTATTTATTTGAGATATAAATTTATTAAGTATTTTATTTTTTAAAATATTTTTTATATTACCATTTATGTTGGATCGAAGATCATGGTGGCTTCCATGAACTGAGATAATTTCGAGGAATCAATCAACTTTTGTGCATAATCGAAGTATCACGGATGATATTCTCCTTGCTCAGAAATTAATTCGAGGTTATGACAGGAAATCATTGTCTGCATAGTATACAATCAAGGTCGATTTTCAAAAAGCTTTTAATTCCATTCATTGGGAAACAATCCTGAGGGTGCTGGAGGCGTATGGTTTTCCAATAAATTTTATAAGTTGGATTTGGAGATGCATCTGTACTCCTAGATTCTCAGTAAATGTGAATGGGGGTTTGAAGGGTTTCTTTAAGGGAGCTCGGGGGTGAGGCAGGGGATCCATTGTCCCCTTACCTCTTTGTGTAGGTTATGAATATTCTATCCAAATTTCTGGATGTGACTGCTAGTAAGGGTGTTTTTCAATACTATCCTAAGTTAAGAGGGTCGGTATTACACATTTGAGTTTTGCTGATGACTTGTTGATATTCGCAAAAGGAAATGTAGATTCTGTGGCTGGAATTTTGTGTGTATTGCAGGAATTTTATAAGTGCACTGGGCTTCAGTTGAATTCTCTAAAAACTGAATTTTTTTTCTATGGGTGCGAGGGAGGAGGAACTGCAGCAGGTTCGAGACATTTCTGGGTTCAAGTTTGGCAGTCTCCCTGTTCGATATTTAGGGGTGCCCTTTGTTACTCGGAGGCTCACTGAGAAGGACTATAGTCCGTTATTGGAGAAGGTTGTTCGGGTGAATAGCTGGGCAGCTAGAGTGCTCTCGTACGCTGATCGAATACAGCTAGTTCAGAGCATTTTGTGTAACGTTCAAGCCTACTGGTGCAGGCACTTTGTGCTTCCTAAGGCGATGCACAGGAGGATGACTCAGCTTTGTTCTCGCTTCTTTAAGATAGGTTGTGACAAGCAGGCTCATGGAGCTAAGGTTAGTTGGGAATGGGTGTGTAAGCTAAAGAATAAGTGGGTCTGGGTCTTAGAGAGCTAGACACTTGGAATAATGCTAGTATACTGCAACATTCCTTGTGGTGAAAAAGGATTCTCTATGGGTGCGATGGGCGGATTTACATGTTCTAAAAGGAAGGAATTTTATGGATCTCCCCGTTCCTAACAAATTATCCAAATATTAAAACAATGATATGTATATTTTCAAGGCTGAACTATTCATAAGACCATTTAATTATTGTCTATTTTTATTTGAATCAATAGTTTTGAAATTAAGTGTGTCAATCAAGCCATCATTCTTTAATATTTAATGAAAGAGTTGACGTAGTTATTAAAAATTTGATGTAATTATATATTTAATTATTAATATTATATATTTTATCAATTTAATTCTAATTCTAATTTAATAAATTTATTTTTTCAATAAAATAGTGACACATATATTAACTTATGATTGGAAGTAAAATTAGTAAAGAAAAGATGTGCTTAGTAACTAGCAAGGCTCAAACCCAAGTCTCATGGGTAACAAACGCATGACATGTATGATTTATCCCATCTAAAAAAAATAGGATTGAATCACATAAATATAAACTTAAATAAACTTTAATAATATTTTATTGTTTAATAAACTTCAATAATATTATATCACATAAATTATTATTTTTTAATAGAAAATCGATAGTTTTATTAAAAATAGAAAATATCCAAAATTACAATGAAGATTTACAAGCATAACCGTAAACGTAAACTAAACTATTCATTTCAATTGTTCTTTTTAATAAAATAATATCAAATTATACACGAGATTAGTCACCAAAATATATTTTTTGGTTAGGATTTTACTTTATTTATTTCTTTTTCCTTTTTCAAAATATTTAAATTATTTTCTTCATTTTATTATATCAAAGTCATCAACAATTCCAATTTCGATTCCTTTTACCCATCAAAGGACGACTTCTACAATTTTTGTTGCTATTACTAGCTTTGAGGGTTGAATTTATTTTAATTTATTAAAACTAGGACCAAATTGATAGAATACATAAGTAACAGTGACCAAATATGTAATTATATCAAATATTTTAACTGTCACGTCAACTTCTTTGTTAAATATTAACGGCAAGTGCTTAATTGAATGCATTTAAATAGTTGAGTGACCTGATTGACAAAATTTTAAAAATGGTGGTCAAAATGGAGAGGGGCAATAGTTAAGTGATCACTGTTATAGTTTATCCTTTATTTTAAATAATTTTCCTTCAATTTTTATCTAATTTATAATTATACGTTAAACCTTTTAGAATTTTAAGTTTTACAAATTAAATTAATAGTGTGCTCATCACCGCTCGACTCAGAAGAATCATCCATCAAATAAACATCTACAATTACGTATTCTATACATCTTTTGTTTAATAAGTATATAGTATTAGATCACATAAATATAAACTAACAATAAAATAATTATTTAATTATTAAAATCTAATTAACTTCATAGGATATTTTTTATTTTTTAAAATCCAAAATTTTTCTTTATAATCTTGTAGTGTTATTAGCAAAGAACAGAATGGAACACTTGATACAAGAGCAATATTGTTTTTCCTTAGATTTTCAGCCGTAGAAAGAAGAAACGGTATTACCAGAATACAGAGGAGGCACGAAAAATGCTCCCAACTGTTTCGTCGGGCCCGTGTTAGGCCGGCCTATGGAAGACATCAAGGCCACCTACAACATTGGGAAAGAATTGGGTAGGGGACAGTTTGGGGTAACACATTTGTGCACTCACAAGCAGACCGGCGAACCGTTCGCCTGCAAGACCATCGCCAAGAGGAAACTCTCTAACAAGGACATCGAGGATGCCCGAAAGGGAGGTGCAGATCAAGCACCATTTGACAGGCCAGGCCAACATCTTGGGACTCAAGGGTGCCTATGAGGATAGACATTCGGTTCATCTCGTGATGGAGTTATGCTCCGGCGGCGAATTGTTCGATCGGATCATCGCTAAGGGACATTACACCGAGCGTGCAGCTGCTTCTTTGATGAGAACAATCGTTCAAATCGTGCATATATGCCATTCCATGGGGGTCATCCATAGGGATCTCAAGCCTGAGAATTTCTTGTTGTTCCCCCTTGAAGGCCACAGATTTCGGGCTATCAGTCTTTTACAGGCCAGGTTGAGATAATTTAATTTACTCGACTTCTTCGTATTTCATTTGATTATTCGATATACATTTAATGGTTAATTCTGCCTCTGGAGCAGGTGAAGAATTTAAAGATATTGTTGGCAGTGCATATTATATTGCACCTGAAGTCCTAAAGAGGAAATATGGACCAGAAGCTGATATATGGAGCATTGGAGTTATGTTGTACATTCTTCTCTCTGGTGTTCCTATTTTCTGGGCAGGTAACTTCTTCCATTGTCATTTCTCAACTTTTCAACATCGTGACGTGAATTTGTGGTCGGAAACAGAACCGACATTAGATCAACTCTCCGACACTTTCGTATCTCTTCTACCTTGATCACCAAGAAATCTTATTTACAAAGATTTATTAATCATTATTAAGAATATGCACTTCATTAATAACTTGTTTCTCAAGTAACCACGCCGGAACCCAAACGAAGATCATATTTTCCCTGATAGAATCCGAAAACGGGATATTCACGGCAATTTTACGTGGCCACTTCGAATTCATGAGTGCTCCTGGCCTAAAATTTCAGCGCCGGCAAAAGATCTTGTTAAGAAGATGTCAACTTTGGATCCCAAGCAGAGGTTAACAGCGGTTCAGGTTCCAAGTAAGTATATATATATGTGTGTGTGTGTGTCTAAGCTCAATGTTCTGTTCCTTAAAGTTCAGCTATGGCGACCATGTTATTTGCATGACTGATTATATTTTATGGGCATCAACAGAACATCCATGGATCAAGGTGGACGGTGAAGCACCGATACACCTCTCGACAACGCAGTGCTAAACAGGCTCAAACAGTTCAAAGCAGTGAACCAGTTCAAGAAAGTTGCTTTAAGGGTATTAAACATTGATAAACAATTGGATGAAAGGTCTAAATGTTATATGACTCGACGGAATTAGTCTCGGACTCGGTTTTCGACAACATTGTTAGGTCATTACGGGCTGTTTATCGGAGGAAGAAATCATGGGATTGAAGGAGATGTTTAAAGGCATGGACACTGACAATAGTGGGACAATTACACTCGAAGATTTGAGGCAAGGTCTAGCTAAGCAAGGAACAAAACTTTCTGAATACGAAGTTAAACAACTAATGGAAGCTGTAAGCCATTTCCAAAGATCAATTCCCATCATTTTTCTCTGTCAATAAGATGGACATTTGTTATAATCTTCGAATAATAGGCCAATGCAGATGGAAATAGAACCATATA